GGCATTTGCATCGACTAAATTTCAATTTATAAGGAAATATCTGCAAATTCTTCGAGTTTTCCTCTTACCAAATGTGTACTCAAACGTGAGCGTTATGCCATTAGTGCGTGATGTGACTATGAATGGTACCATGTTACTTCTGGACAGTATTCTCTGCTGATAGCGAGGTTGGCAACAAAACCTAAAAATGAATAATGTATCTATTGAATAAAACAAAGAAAACTTCATGCGTACCTGTAACCGACAAGACGTGGATCGGTAGTCATCTTGAACTCCACACCATCTTCCCAGCATCCTTCGACACATCTGCCTTGGACTCGGACCAGGTTTACCAACACGCGTTTACCTCTGGGCGCCTCAAAATTAAAAGTAGGTAGTATATCAAATCAATTTACTGTAAATGCACATAGGAATTATTTGTAGCTAAGAAATTCGACTTTGAATTCCCGCCCTAACGGTACCGTACTCTGATGCGCTGTTTGGTGCGCTTGCGTGATTACGGTCTGGGCTGCAGCTTAGGGTCGAATTTCAAAGCTACAAATGAATCGCCTCAGCTATCACTAAGACAAGGGCTCAGCTAAGGCCTCCCAGTTGATTCTCACATAAAAATAAAATTAAAACTCAAATTTAGATTCATCCAGACAGCGGCTTCAGTTAATAAAGACGAGACACAATCTAGATTTTTCTGAAGAAAATTCAAGTTTTCGTACCCTCAAATGATAAATACACTGCTTTGTCCGCTGTTGTCCGATCTGTCTGATAGTGATGTCGAATCTACGAATCGCTTCGTAAGCAATCAACTCTCCTCCACAACCATTTGAGAACGATGGTGGTATAGATTCGCAATACTGTCCACCAAATCCACTTGGGCATCTGAGCATAGAGATTTCTAGACTTTTCCAGAGATTGGCCATAAAATTTTCGTACTAACTTGCATCGATTACAATTTCTACTATCAGTGAAGCCTCCATTTTGACATGGTAGTCGACGTGGGCAACGAGCTATAAGGGAATTCTTAGAAAAAGAGTAGATTTTGCGCTAAAAAGAGCCCATAGAAATTAAAATCTTTTCTTTACTCAGCTAACCTTGACAGTTATAATGCAGATTTATTGCCATAACATCCAGAAATGATGGTCCCTCCATCTGTCCCATAGTTTGCTGAAGATTTGGATCAACTGTGGTCAGTGCGGGTATGTTTCTATAGGAAGAGAACCTAGAAAATAAAGGAGAAAATTCGATAGAAAAAGCTATGGATAATTCAAAAAAATGAAATCAAATCAAATGACATTAAATTTTTGTTTGTATGTTTTGAAAGGTTTGAAGTTGGATTGAATAGAATTG